ATATATATCTATATATATATATATACGTATATCTTTATACATTCCTATATATATATATATCATCATCATCATCATCATCATCATCATCACCATTACCAATAGTGTTACCTGTTTTGTGATTATAATCGCCTCAATCTTATTGGCTATCAGCGATACGGTTGATGTTTGTCATGTGCCGGCTCCTCCTCTTTCTCCTCTCACCTCTTTTGACAACGATCACTTCAACACCGATGAGACGAACCTCATAGTATTCTGTCGATACAGTAGTTATACTTGGGCTTTTTGTTTGTCTAGCTCTATATTTGCACACTGTTCTCAAGTTCGTGATATAATACCGTGATTGATAGACATCGAAATTGTTTCGCAACTGTAAAAACTGGACATACCATGTTCGAAGTAACTGTTGAGGTCTGAAAACGGATGAAGAAAACGATACATAAATTGAGGAGAAATAAAGAGAAAATGAATGAGAATAGAGCGAATGCTTTTGAGAGGGGGTATTCGTTTTGTTTTGACCTTGCTTCTGTGTCTTTTGGTACGTACTAGCATTGATGGTGGACGTGTTGTCTGTCTTTTTTGTCTGTGTATATTGGAGGTCTTATTTACATTCTATCTATTTCTTGCCCCTTCTGATATCCATATATCTTTTCAGGGCATCCGGGCTAGCCCATGACTGGATCATCGTTGTCGGCTGCCTATAGGCTTCTTACTCTTCTTCTTTTCTATCAACCCTCTCTTCTTTCTTCCTGGTGCTCTTTGACTGACGGCCTGCTGGTCGTCTTTGCGGGCATCAGCATCATCTGCTTCTATCTGACCGTGTTAGGGCTCTCTACCCATATCTCTCTATCCTTCTTCAGTTTTTCGTCTCCGTTTCCTCTTTTCTTCCATTGCTTCCATTCCATATATGTCTTACGCTTGAGTCTTCATCATATGATTTTCCATGAGTAGTTTTTTCACAAATTTCATTAAGCATTTTGAAGAAATGTGAATAGCTGATATCATGCTTGTTTTACTTATGTGCTTAACTGACAACCCTGAACATAGAAATCGGTTCTTTCCCATACTTAGAAAAGAAAAAGCGAAGAAAGAATGTAAAAGTGGTAGATTTAGTCTACTTCTTCATCAACTATTCTTCCGTTTTCCAGTCTTTGCCGTGTCAGCAGTTTTCTCTAGCTTCCTTGTCTCTAATAGATTTGTGACAAGCGGACCAGCCGGCCTGCAGGTTGTCTTGGTAGACATCATAGCAACCATTGTTCTGATTTCCTTTTGGAAGACTATAGACCACCCAATATCCCACCTGTTTCCTAGGTTAGCTGCTACCTCATCGGCTACGGCATAATCGGTTCTTAATTTGGACCATTCACCTTCAGGTCATCAATCAGATGGACGTAGATAATTTGCCCTGTAGAACCTTATGTTCGCATAAAATAATTACTTTTGATGGGTGATTGGCTCAGCGGCAAGTGTTGGGACCACCTGAAAGACCGGCAAAAGCCGGACATTGAAAGCTTGACCAAGGTCAAAGGACAAGTAATTTTCAAGTTGCCGTTGTCTTTTGACTCTTTCATTCATTAGGCTCCACCCCCAATCGTCTTGTGTGTCTTCTAGGCCATTCGTAGTCGCAACTGTTTTCAAAAGTCGCTCTTTCCGTGATCCCGCTACCCTCAGGTTATCATCCCTTTCCTCTTTTTCCTCTTTCATATATAGCATCTATATCTCGTTAAAATCACTCATATTATCTGTAAATGATGCTGATGATGACAGTCCAGTTTTGGTCATAATGTCAGTCTCTCTGTTCACACTCTCATGCCTGTATGTTTGCAGGCATTTATTCAAAGCATTTCGCTGGTCGTAGATGAATGTGATAAGATTTTTATCATCATCATCAGAAAAATCTGATCAGAGCACTGCTGCTGATTTCCATCTAAACGGGGCAACCAGCCTGCGACCGTGATTGTCGTCGACGAGACAACGACGACGTCGTCCGGCCAACCCCTTCTCTCCGTTTGCCTCCACTACTACCACATCGACAGATCCCTTTGATAGTCAACAATCCGTCTACCTCTACGTCGTTTGATTGTTTCCTTCTCTTCATCTTTCTCTCTATATATTGAGGCTTTATCTTATCCCATCAAATATCAACCTGTCACACTTTTCATTTGATTAAGCAACTCCTCAGAATTTATTATTCTCATCTTTTATCACAAACTTCACAATTCGTTCTACCCCCTATAGAGAAAACAATTTTAACCATTTTTTGAGCACTCTTGCGTACTTTCGATAAATTGCGGGAACTATGAGGGAGTGATGATCTACCAAGCTGTTTGTCCCACTTTGTTTTCTTTTAACTACGTTGAAATCATGTTTGATCTATTGGAAATCTCGTCATGGTTCATAAATCGCTGTTTTCTCTTTTCTTTTACAATTTTTAGAAGTTTTCTGCCTCTACATTTTTTCATATATAACCCGCTTTTCAATTTCGTCAACGATTCATTCATTATTTTTTTTGTTGTACTTTGAACGTACTTTCGGTTTAACTGTCGTCTTATATCAATTCTTCTCATTGATTATGCATTTTTTAATTTAATTCATCTTCAGAGGATGACCTTGGTGGTTCCTCCCCAGCAGTGTGCTCGAAGCGCTCTACCTGCTCCGCTTTCGCCATCTACCCCTTCTTCGGGACCTTGTGTTGGATGCGTTAAGCTTCACGCTGATATTAAACAGGTATGGTTGCTGTAACTATTGATTCATTGTAACCGAGTTTTTCAGAATGTTCAAATGATGATGGACAAGTTTGATATTTTACTCATGCGCTTAGAAGGATTTATCAACGATAAAAGTAGAGATAACATAAACGAACAGTACAGTCGTAGTGAAAGCGGCAGCGAGGAGAAGGTTAGTATATTGCTTTATTCTTCTTCATTTGCATTGTCAGACTTTTTATTATACCATCGATATATTTCCCTTTATCTTCTAACAGCTTTTTCGATCACTGATCTGCTTTGTTTAGGATATACCGTCACCCGTTGACAGTCGGGCCTCACCTACCCTCGTTCAAGGAAGCCGTAAACGTAAACCAACAAAAGAAGCTATTCACAAGCTCATAGAAACCAGTGAAAAGAAAGTTGTACGTTTTCAATCATCAAAATAGAACAGTTACTTCTTTTTTTGTAGATGGAGGAATCACCACCTACTAGCGTTGCAATTTCCACAACCGCCGGTTCAACTCCCGTTTCTGGTGTTGGAGCCATGCCTGCCGAGTTCAACTTCCCGGCTGCTCTAGGAGCTTCTGGCACATTGGACCAAATGGCTCAACAACAACAGCTTCTTCAATTCATTATGCAACAATCTCTTCAACAAACTACTCCTACATCCACACCAAATGCTACACAGCCTCAACAGCAACAAAGTGCCAGTCCCCAGGAGTCAGTAACTCCTTCAAATATCAAGCAGGAACAACCTGATCCTCAAAGCATTATGGAACAATTACAACAACAATTCAAGGAGGTTTGTTTTTTGTTTTTTCATATTATTTCAAAGACACCATCTACCTGACCAGTTTGATGAGTTTGCCTTTCTCACCTAGTGAGAGACGTAGAGATTGACAGATTATTTGAAGCCAACTGAACAAGGCTACCGCTTTCCCATACTGTTGAATCCTATCGCATCAATTCATCCTCTGGTTGTCCCCTCTAATCACTGTCACAGTTTGTGATTCTTTTCTTTTCCGTCTCTTCAACCTAGACAGGCATTTTTTTCTTTTTGAACCAGAGCTTCGCCTCTTTTGTATGAATTTCTATCCGACTGTGCTTCGTTTCTGTAAACGAGTAACACCTCTCATTCGTTTTTTTCGATCCTTTGTTCTTCAAATCGGCCTATCTGCTTTCCGTTAAAACCTATGATAAATGGCAGTTTCCTCTATTTTCATCTCATCGTCTGCCCTATCTTTTACATGTCTTAGTTGTCTCAAGCCCTTTGAACACTAACACAGCCTCGAAACCTATAGTCATATTTCAAAATTCAAAGGGATAAAGAAACGGCAAATGTTTTGTGCACCATCTGAATCAGCCTGTGTTTAAATTCAAACTGAGATTTCTTTCTAATGTTTTATTCATTACAGAAGTACGAAGAAGAAGACAACAATGCTTCCGTCTCTCGTTGCAGTAACTGCATGACCACGAAGACAACTGCCTGGCGACGTGACCTTACTGGAAAGTTGGTCTGCAACGCTTGTGGACTCTATTATCGTCTTCACAGAGTATGTTTTGTTAAAGATTATAGAAGTAGGGTATAGATCTGAGCCTTTGTTTACGTGAAGACCTTGTAATATGGTCGGTAGTTCTTGAAGAAGTTCATTATATCAATTATATTTTCGGAAGAATATGATCTAATGACTAGGGAGAGGAAGAGTTGAGAGGCGATGGTTGTCATTCGAAGTGTTCCCATTGAAGAGCATTGAATTCGGTACAGGTCATAACAAAAGGAGTCCTTGAGTTAGAGAAAGTATCAGCTGCTGGTTTCCTGATGGTAACCGCCAGTCAACCCCTTCTTTTTCTATTACTCCTATCTATTTGGGTCTGATGATTGCTGACAATACATTGTCGTCCTTCACGCTCCTCAGCCTAAAAAAGTGAGGGATAGGGTAGCCTCTTAAGGCAGTAAGTAAAAGATAGGTCCAGGTGGTTAGAATGAGGTGTCTTTCTTTCCATGATGAGTGTGTGAAGAGAAATGAATAGAAGAATAATACTGAATGTTGGCTTTATTGAGTAGAGAATTAAAGAGGACGGTAAGGATGAGAGTGATCCAGCTCCGACCAGTAATTGGCCTGTTCGTTGTCTTTTCAATCTTACGTATTGTATTCTTCGTATGGTAACGCTGTTTGATGAAGTGAGGGACCTGGCCCAAATTGTCTTAGACGGAATATCGGGGATTATTGAACAATCTCGAAGAAACTTTTACTTATAGTTTATTATTCAGACTCACAGACCAGTACACATGAGAAAAGATTTTATTCAACAGCGCTTCCGTCGAAAAACAAAGGAAGAAGAGGTACACCCATATTTTCTTCTCATTTTAAATTTTTTTTCCTCTAGGCAAATACCCAAACAGCAGTTTTCAACCAATTGCTTAGCATGAGCGGGATGCCCAACCAAGCATTCAATTTTCTAGAACAGTTCAATCAGATGAATGCAGTCCAAGAGCAATTAAACGCGACAGCACCTGTCTAATAATATATTTTTTTTAATTCAACAGGAGTGGATAGTTTAAGCGGATTCCATCTGCTACTTATATTTATTTCCAAAATCATTTTCTACTATATACTAATTTTACTTGCCTTCCAACTGATGAGTCTACTACAACTAGTACTACTAATACAAAGCTTTGTTACTCCGGGTGATATTCGCCCATGTTTTAACTACTCAGTTGCCCGCTTTGCCTCCTTCTATCCTCTATCGAGGGTCTCTTTTGCCTTCGGCCGGCCCGTGTGTTCTCGAGCTTTACTTGTGTACGTTGTTTTAACTTTTTTTTATGTTTTAACTATTTTCAATTCAAGTTTTGTTGTCTAATATTTGCCCCGGGAAACTGCAATCCCTTCACTTTACTACGTATCTCTTTATCCATTTATATCAGAATTATCTCTAATTTGTGTTTAATTATTATTGATATATCATCGCACTATCCTAGATAATGCCACTGACGAGTTTATAAATAGAGCTTCTCTGACTCGCATAATAACTGAGATTGTATCATCGGCATAATTATTCCAATTAAATTCTAATCCTGCTTTTAGCACATGGTCCTGATTGTGCAAACTCCAATCAAACTTCCATAAACTACCTTAACATATCTCTTTCATCATCTACTTTTGCATTTCACTCGTCTCTAAGGCTATGTGATGTTATGTTTCGTCCAATAAACTTTATAGATATCACAAATTGTTTTACATTCCTTATTATTAAAATTAAAACCAGTAAAAAAATAAATTAGGGGTATACATAGATATCACACACACACAGTTGTTCCTTATGCGGAAAGAATTCTTGGCGATCTGTACCAGTTATATCAGGCAGCCCAGTTTAATCGATTTTTACGGTTGAATAGATCTTTCGTACAAATTTGGCAGTTCCTATATATCCTAGAGTGCCAGTCATCAAGCCGAGAGCGGCAGAGAACAACCCCATGTATCCAAAGTAGAATACGGTTTGGAAAAGTCCGAACATTCTGAAAAGAAATTAGTTGAATGTTAAATCATGTTTTCTTGTTAGGCATAATGGTTACTTTCCAGCCAAATTTATCGTCAAGTTTACACTCAGTGATTTGCTACTGAAATTTGCGACCTTGACGGCTTGCCGAAACTTGATAATGATCAAGTGTATCGATAAAGAGCATATCAGATGAACTTGCTCAGTTACGACACCGCAAGACAAAAGAAACAATTTGGCGGAAAATTAACATAATGACTAGAGAAGAATACTTAAATTCGGCAATGTTAAAACTCACTTGGTCTTAAAGAAGAAATAATAGATGGAGTAGAGATACACATAGAGGGCAGTGGAAGCTCCAGCAGCAAAACTAGTCCATCTCCTGAAAAGATAAGCCTTACAATCAAATTAACTAAAGGATTTGATTTGATGAAATGGAGGAACTTAAGGTGACATAAACATTGAGATAAGATCTCTTCCTTATTCTTCAAAGAGATATCAAAGATTACAGATTATTCGAAACATGATTAGCCTTCAGATACCAATTTTGTATGAATTACGAAAAAAAATGAATCTCGCGATCAGAACTGATCAATTAGCGAAATTTGATTGAGAAACCTAACTATATAATTTGGAAAGATTCAAAGATAAGCTAACCATCTGTAATCCTCTGCATTGAGGAGGAAATAGGAGCAAACGATCGTTACACAGATCGTTACAACTGTAAGGATAGTCAGAACAAGAAGCATGAATCCATAGACGTAATAAATCTTGTAAGCCCAGAATGATGTGAATATGAAATACCTGGGGAAATAAACAGTGATTAGTGATGTAACAAACACTTACATTTCGATGAAAATGCTTCCAAATGGTAAAACTCCACCCATCAATGTGATAAGCCATGGTTGAACAAACCATTTTTTGTCTGGAATAGGACGAGGCACAGCATTCACACTGAAATTTATGTCTAGCATCCAGTAGTTAATCTGAAGATACATACCGACAAGGATAATCTCCTTGTCCTGACATATTTCTTCCTAATACTGTTCCAACAAGAGTCAGGGGGAGAATAACAAATAAGCAAATAGCAGTGACAGCCAACTGAATACATTATTTTCCATTAATGAAGTTTTGAAATTGAACAAACATACCATCGTAGTGAAGGGAATAGCTCTAGAGGCATGATAATAAATGGCGATGAAATTAATCAGAAATGCAACGCCACACACCTAAATAGGGGAAGTGATGTCTGAATTAAACAATAGAACTCACAAGACTGGGTAGCAGGAAGGCTCCTAACAACATTTGTCGAATCCAATGCCTTCCACCAAATCGAGCGTACATTGATCCTCCCGCATATCCGTTCACAGGAGAACTTGCAGCATAAACGAAAATGGCAGCGGATAGCAGCGAACCACGTCTAAAAAAAGTGTTAACAACATATATCTATATCTTGATTCTTCTTACTCAGTATAAAACTCTCCCACAATGGCCAAAAGAATGGTGATAGAGGAGACTGCAAACACATGATACCCTGCCCCAATGCAAGATGCAAACAGTAAGGGCATGGAAGGAGCTCGAAACACGTCACCATGAACTTGCTTCCAACCATATTCATCACCCAAATCAGCATCCTGAATATAACACATTGATCTAAAAAACAAAGGAAAATGTAACCAATTCTTCTAAACTGTCTTCCTTCTGATAACGAGCATAATCTTTCCTCAAAGTTCGCACAAGAATCATCCAGACTAACCCGACTAAGAAAACAACCATCATGAAGCTGTTGAAAATAGAGAACCAATGAATCTTTAAAATGAAGGAATTGGGTAAAAGTAAGCATAAAGCCAACAAACTCTATGCTGGAAGAAGCTGGGATCCAAGTATTTATCAAAACGATCAGCGAAAGGAATAGGACTAGACTTCCAGTTGACCTGAAGCGCGTAGAATTATAGAAGAATTAGAAGAAGCTCATACCTCATAGCTGAACTCTAGTTCAATATCGGGGTGTAGTTCCACTCTTCCATCAGAAGTAAGATTAACATCAACAACTTGCTTCTGATTGTAGCCCACATCCAACCTTTTATGAGTGTAGAGTTTGTAAACTGGTGGTCGAACAGAATTGTCAACTTCTCCGATCATACCTAAATCACATCTTCAATGCTTGTTGATTCCCTTCTGAACTTACCCCAAATAGGCATATCATCCAAGTACATTTGATAATAATAGCTTTTGCTAATTGCATACAAAAAGGTTTTGTAATCTTCTAGAGATAACTTTTGTTTGCAATAAATGGTTTTCTTTTGATTGGCTGAAAAGAGAAAAAAAATATTGATTAATCAGAGTATTCTTACTTCGAAACTTAATATCCAAGCCAGAGAAGTCCAACTCTACTCCGAGGAGCGACTCTCCCATGGTTTCATGATAATGTCCAATGGATGTTTTAGGTCCACGACAGAAAGGTAAAGAGAAATAAGTGTATGTTTCTTGTCTATTGCTGTATGGCCCAACCTGGAATTTTCGTCTTTATAATTTGTTTTTTCAATAATCTAACCGTGTTCATCCATAATACAACTTCTTCGTCATTTTCGTACATGTGATCATGCTCATCAGCATTAACAAATGAGGATAGAATCAGCAGAACCAATAAAAACCTCATTTTGAAAACCTGAAACAATTCTATCACTAAATAATACAACATAAGCTAACCTTCTACAAGTCAAAGAAGAAAGCTTTGTGCTTCAAAGATTCATCAAGTTTGGAACCTAGAACCTATTTTAATCAGTCTATGGAAAAAAAAAACTTCTACCACAAGCATTAAAGTCTACGAGAATTTATGAGGATAGATTATTCGATAAAAAATTTGAAAAACTAATGTTGTAAACTTGTTATATTACATAAAATAGCTTATAAGAAGCAAATGCGTGGCAATGAGGTGTAGCGAAAAGAGAACGTTGAGTTAGGAGAGTTTAGAAAGTTAGAAAGTGTTGAGATAGGGTACTGTAGTTAAGATTTTTTGGATTTGGTCCAAAGTTTCCTATTGTCATTGGAGCACATTTATGTAAAGAATAATCCATTCAGCAATTCATTTGTACATTTGTTTTCATCATTGAAGAGTTTGAAGGTTAGTGATTCATCGGTTCTAGGGAAATTGGAAATGTCTTTTTAGAAAATGCTTTCGATTGAAGCTGCTATATCACGGGCTATAAAGTATAGAAATCATGGCGTTTTAATAAGCGAAACGTTTGACTTAGCTCGTAAGCAAGCTACAGAAGCTATCAACAGAGGTCAAATTCCATTTCCTGTAGTTGTAAAAGATTGTTTCACGTAATTTTATCTTGGTTAACTTCATGCTTTTTTTTTTGCAAGTTTAGATTGAAAGATGTTCGAACAACATGCGCGTCCAAAATGCTGGAGAATTATGTTCCTTCCTATACCGCAACTATTGTATCGAGGCTTATCGAGAATGGTACAATTCTCTGATATTTAGTTTCGTAGCTTTCATCAGGTGGATGTGTTATTGGCAAAGGTAACTTAGACGAGTTCAGTATGGGAACTTCCAGTGCGCTTGGTTATTTCGGGCCTGTAAAAAGTGGACTATCAGAGGAAGTTGAAACGGATTGGTATGTTCCGGGCGGTTCATCCGGTGGCCCTGCAGTAGCGGTTCAGTTAGGAATAGCCAAAATGTGAGTCAAGTGAATTAAAATTCATGTTTTAATATGTGTGAAGGAGTTTGGGCACTGACACAGGCGGGTCAACTCGAAACCCAGCAGCTTTAAATGGCATATTTGGCTTCAAGCCTACTTATGGTCTACTTTCAAGATACGGACTAATACCTTTGGTAATATTCAGTGATAATCCGTAGAGGAGATTTCCATACTAGGTCAATTCTCTTGATTCCCCTGCGATATTTGCAACATCGGCTGCGGACTGTTTGCTGTATTTAGGTAAAATTAGTTGAAACTACTTGTTGCTTGCTATACAACATTTATAGACATGATGAAAGGTATGGATCCGAATGATCCCACGTCTGTGGATGATCAGAATTGTACGTCTGATGCTTCTTTGGAAGGGTTAAAAATAGGCATCCCAAAGGTTATAAATGTTCTTGTAACTGGGTTGATGACTGTTTTAAGGAATATAATAATGACTTTCTCACGGACGAATCTTGGAAGGTTTGGAATCAGACAGCTCTTCTCATGAAAGACAGAGGTGCTACACTCCATGATATATCCTTACCTTCAACTGAATATTCTCTTGACTGTTATCAAGTTTTATCTGCAGCAGATATTGCCTCGAATATGGCAAGGTGATATTGGTTTTCTAAGCTGTTTCATTCTGCTTGTTTTTTTTTAGATATGATGGTGTAGCTTATGGTCATCGATCTCATAATGAGACATCAACTCTAGAGTTGTATGCAAAGTCACGGAGTGAATCACTGAATGAAACGGTCAGAAAGAGGATAATGGCGGGAAACTATTTTTTAATGAGAGAGTTTGTATGACCACTTTAGACAGATAGACGTTTCCTCTTGTAGGAACAAAGTAAAATATGTTGATCACGCAAAAAAAGTCAGAATGCTTATATCTAAAGAATTTCAAGAAGCTTTTCGTTCGGTTGATCTAATCTTAACTCCTACTGCCACTGGCTGTGCTCCTCTACACTCAGAACAAACGACTTCAAATTTTCTGAGAGAGGATAGAGATGATTATTATACTCAACCAGTTAATTTGGCAGGTAGTATAAGTTATTTCATCTGAAACGAAGCAATTGAATTTCAGGGCTTCCTGCTATATCAGTCCCGATCGGAAGAGGACATAATAAACTGCCGATAGGAGTTCAGATTATAGGAAATTTATTAAAAGATAGGTTCGTGTGCAGCATAGCGAATGAGTTGTACTTGCAACGTAATAAATATTTTTGAATTTTAGGTAATTTTTAAAACCTTATCTCGTTAAAACGATATTTATCTGATTCTTAGTGATCAAGTTTTGAACGAAGCTCTACCGTATTTTCTTTGTCTTATCGTTTCACCTGCGCTCCTTACAAGGACACATGACAGTTGTCTGAACTGATGCCTTCCTACTTCAATGCTATTCACTTGCCTCTTTGCTTTCAATGCCATCAATACTTTTCGCTTCCTTTATCAATTTTTGAAGCAGCTAACTTTATATGAATTGAGATTAACACTTGTTAAACTCAAACGTTCCTCGATCCAATTGTAAACTTCTCGGGTGTAATGTATACACAGAATGCGCAGTAATTGACAACTTTATATCTTACGCGTCTGATTTTGAACACTAAAAGTTCAAATCAAAATCAGCTCCGCTCTTTTAGTCAGGTTTCCAATTTACATATTCGTTTTTTGTATTCTAATGACCTTTATCTATGACTTGTTTACTTTTCTTTTGCCATACCATTTGTGCAGATCGTCTAATCCTCAGACCTCCCCTCAGACATGAGAGCATGGCACACTGCCAATGGGTCAGCGACATTATGCAATTAGTCATATGCGATGCCCCATTTCGGTTCTAGTTTCCTGGAGTTCCCGTTTTAGCTCCGCCCTTTTGACTGTGCGCGCGTTGTACATTTAATTACCGTATTCCAAAAAGTATACTTAGAAAAATAATGCTAAAGAGATTATGTTTAACAGTTAACCAACCACCTCGTTCTGTACCAGAACAGCAAAATTCAAAAAAGTAGTTTCTCAGTATTAGTTTTGAAAGGACTTGCGTCCCGTTAAGTCTTGATTACATTCACCTTATGATTGTGCGCTCTAAACATATCTTGACAAAAAAACAAGATTACATTCCGTATCATGAAAGGGAAACTATAAGATGGCACGCTTTAGCCTAGTAGTCAAGTAGATTAAAAAGATCCGATGTGATTTATTATTGAGTGAGCTTCAAGAAGTAATGAGTATGTGGAAATCAGGTTTCAGGGAAAGCATGGTGCAAGTCACATTCCTCCCTTCGTTGACGATTGCTCATTCCTTCTAACCGATATATAAATTCCTTATAGAAACTTGTTTGATGCTAGGTGTAATTACTTGCATTTGATTGCAGGAACCTACGAATAAGAGTTTTGAGCTTTCAGAAAGCATTCAAAAGAGAGGTAGTAAAGACAACTGCTCGAAAAGTATTTTAAAGTTTTTTCATAATCATTAGCGCAATGACCTTTATCAAACTGATTCTACTTCATATTTACAATCATACTTCTTCTTTTTCATTAAGAGAAGTTTGTATATGTTATACTCACTTATATGAATCTCATGAAGCTTTCATAGTCTCAACCTAACAATAAAGTACGCAAAATACGCAAAGTAACCGTCACGCGCACAGTAAAACGGGCGGAGCTCTGAAGCGGGAAGCCTGTGATACCAGAACTCGCTTTTCTTACGTTATGTACTCTTGTTTTCTTCTGATTTATGTATAGCTTAATCTTTTCATTGTTTCATATTCCATTTTTTGAATTTCCATTGTCATTGATCACAGTTCGTTCTCCTTATAGCTCTATCTGTGTTCATTTTTCCGATTATTTACTATGTTGTTGCCTTCGATATCTACTTTCTGACATCTGCTATTGATTCAGTTTACCTCTCCGTATTTTCTCCTTTCAAATGTGCTGTTTTCTTACCGAAGTTTTTTTTCATAGATGCGGTAATGTTGAGTTCATCGCCTTCCAGTACGAACCCTTCCTCCTGCGATTCCTCGGTGCCTCAATCTTGTAACTATCCTACGAGTAGCTCTGAGCCTACTACTCATGATGAGATTGTTACAGATCCCTATGCTATAACATCCGGAAAAGTAAGTGAGAGTGTGTAGATAGTGTTCGAAGCTGATCGTGTTTAAGGGGAATGAAGGATCTTCAAATACGTCTTCACCAGCAGTAGCGAACTCTGTTCCTCCTTATCAGGAGCCGCATTATCCCGAACCTTCAGGACAGGGTGCAATGTATTATTCGTATGTTGTTTGATATTAAGCTTAGAGACAGTAGTAATCCTAGGTCTGAAGTGATTAACAGAGATTCGGAGGATTATGAGCTTGAAAAGTTTGATAACATTGTGCAGTGGTATTATAGGTATGCTTTTGCTTAATTAACATATTGATTTTGTGCATGTTCTACGTCAATTTGTGATATTTTATAATTTAGAAACCAAAATAAGATTCAAACACTGGATAAAATTAATAACAATAATAAGAATGGAAATGTGATCAATAACACTGAGAACGTGGCTAATAATGGGTGTGATGAATATGGAAAGGAAGGTGATGGCGAGAAGATAAGGACCAAACGAAAGCTTAACGTTGGACTTGATATTATTTTATAATTCAAATTTTTTTTGAAGGATGAAGAAAATGTTCCATCTGTCAAACGGTTCCTCCCTAATGATGTGAGCGTGAGTTCTCCTCAGGAGAACGAGAGCGGTTTGTCCGTATCCCAAGAATCGTCTGCTACCGAAGATGAAAACCCATTGAGAAGAATGGAGTTAATGACAAATTCCACTGCTTTTGTTAGTGCCAGTGGTATTTCTGATGCCATCAGTGAAGCGAAAAAGTGCGTTCCATTTCAATACGATAAAGTTACTTTTTTTTTAGAGATGAAAGAGCAGGCAAAGCAGAAAAGGATATGACAGAACAAAAGAATCGTGTGCAGTTACAGCATCACCAACAACACCAACAACATCAACAACACCAGCTTCATCAGCAACTTCAACATCCACAGTTTCATCCTCAGCAGCAGATGCATCAATATCAGCATATGCATCAACAGCAATATCTCTATCAACAATATCATCAACAACAGTTAAATACTCAACTTCCCCAAAATCAAACTACTCAACCACTAACGCACTTACCAGCTCAAGCACAATCTCAACCGCAGCCTCCTTCTCTGGCTGCCCAAGAACCGTCCCCATCATCGCAATCACACTCTCAGCAGAATCCTCAAACTGTTCCTCAAGCTCAGTCGTCTGTTCAAACTGTTCCACCTCACTTGAATCATATAGCTCAGCCTCAACTGCAAATCCCTTCTCAGCCTCAAGGCAACGGTCAGATACTGACAGCAACGTCAAGTCAAAACCCAGTGCCGTCTCAAGCGGTTGGCCAAGTACAGACGCAGTCGCAAACAACTCAGGCACAGGCCCAGCCTCAATCTCATTCCCAATCTCAAGTTCAAGCTCATGCCATTGCTCAAGCCCAGGCTCAAGCTCATGCCCATGCTCAAGCTCAAGCACATGCGCAAGCTCAAGCACAAGCACATGCTCAGGCGCAAGCCCAGGCACAAGCCCAGGCACATGCTCAGGCACAGGCACATGCTCAAGCACATGCTCAAGCACAATCTCAGGCTCAGTCTCAGGCACAGTCACAGGCACAGGCACAGGCACAAACGCAATCTCAAAATCCAGGGCAGAATCAGCAACCACCAAATGCTAGTCACATTCATCAACAGCAGATGCATGCGCAACAAATGCAGCATCAACAACAAATGGCGATGTATCATCAACAGGTATTTAAGTTAGAATATCAGTGTTCCCAATTTCGTATAGATGATGGAACGTCACCGTATGCACCCTATGTCATCCCCTGCTCCCTACTTACCAATGTCATCTCCTGCTTACCCGCCTTATCCACCTAATGGTTATAAAGATTGAGAATTCTTTCATAAATCTGTTTCCAGGTTTAGGCTTTCAACACCCTGCTTATTCTCCTGCATTCAGCCCAATGATGGGTCCAGGACCAATGCCACGACCAGGTATGGCTCCTTCCCCTGGAGGTTATCCTCATCCTGGGATGCAAGGATATCGACCGATGCCTATGATGCACCCAGGACATCCAATGTACTTACCTCCTCATGCTCGTGGTAATTTTGGAGCTTCAGGAAAGTGTTAAAGGTCACCTTTTTAGGTATGATGCCTCCAGGAAGGTCACCATCTATGGGCTATCCACATTCGACACCGTTCCCTCCTGGTTATATGCCTGGAATGCCCCCACCACCTAGTGCTCTGAGCGGACCTCTTCCATATATCAATGGGCCACCTTCAGGAGTGATTGGGGCTCCTAACTCTGCTCCTCCAGCTGATAAAGTAAGATTTTCCTTTGTATTGTTTTTAACACAATATTTAGAATCTCAACTCACCGTATGCGCCGAACCAGGTTCCAAAATCAATCGGACAAGACCCACCACCGGGAGGTTAGAAGATGTATCATAACACAATTTTATACAATTAAGTTATTTCAGGAATGCTAGTTGTCAGTCAAGGTAAATCTGACTGTGAAAGAAGTAATTATCCTACTCTGATGACGGACCCAAATGCTTTACCTGGATTTGCTCCGCCTTATTCTAATATGTCGGGATCACAAATGCAGCAGCCACCTTGTCCTCCGTCTTCTTGTCCTCCTCTATCATATCAGCCTCCCTCATGTCCGCCACCATCATGTCCTCCTTTATCATATCAGCCGCCATCGTGCCCACCCCCGTCGTGTCCTCCTTCATGTTAGTATTAAATGTTTGTATTTAAGCAATGTATATGCAGTATGTTTTAGATTACTAAGTTTCATGTTCTAAAATTATGATTTTGAAACGTTCTTATACTTATTCTTATATATATCAACACTTTCCTGTTAGAGAGCAGAGCTTATTATTGTATGACTATAATGATAATGTTTGTATTGTACCCTTCGAATGTCGATTCGAAAAAAATTTGACAAATTTAAAATGATCTGAATACAGTATTTCGAAATCAGTGCTAGAATTTATTAAAATATGATTATTACATCACGAGGCATGACACAGTAGCAATAAGGGATATGCACATTCAGAAATAAAATACTTTTTTAAAGCTATTTGTTAGTTTCTGAAACTTCGATTTCTGAGGTCTACGAGCAGAGCTTAAAATTGCACAGAGTTCGTCGGAAACTCTTCTATACGTGACCAAGGAGCTACTGTTTATGCGACGGAGAGCTATCTCCACTTGTTTGCCTTGAATGAAATGAGTGAGAAAGAATCATAAATTAATAAACTAACAGAAGAAATAGATATGTTCCTTTTTTTCTTCATAATTGAGAAGATCTAAGCGTTTTTCCGTATCGATACCCACAACTTTTTCAATCGACTTTTCTATTTTGGCTAATCGTCGAGAACCATCGAATGAGTCCAATACTTGCAATAACACAGAACATAAGAGTCGAGCTATAATATCATTAATATTTTACCACAATTGATTGAAACTAACCATACAAATGAGAAGTATCTTCTGAGTTTTGGAATGATACAATATTTTGATAGACAGCCTCATCATCTTCAGCTTCAACTTTTGAAGAATAAGATCTAATATTTTCATAGGACCTCTTGGAGGTTCGTGGAATAGGGTAATCTCTTCTCAAAAGACGGTTCAATCCATCTGAACATGCAGATTAAGTGGCTTTAAAATGAGCTTGAAACTCACTTCTACAGTGAGAATGGATGCTAGAGTAGCTGGTTGAAGCATCCTCTGACTTGACGGACGTTGAACCACATATAGTCTGAAATACCAAATATTAGAGAAGAAATTAGTGACATATTTCATACGGCAGCTGAATAATTCCTTTTTTTGAAATCAAGATCTAGATAGTCGTAATCATTCTCATCCCCATAACAAGAAATGTCAAACATGTCGTCAGGAAGATGATCAACCCGGAAAGACGATAAAGAAGAATTTTGCATCATTTCTGTAAAATAAAATGAATAATGATTAGTAAAGACAGAACTATAGCAGAGAGAATATAATGAAACTATCCATCGACAAAGTTCAAAACACAAAAAGATCAAAACCACTGGGATTATTGATTTATCGCATACCCCAAAACTTGGATATGGTCAAAGTAAAAAAAAAGTTGAGTTTTGCAACTTCACTCAGACGAGAATGTTGAGTGTGCGATCTCAAGAATGTTGGAAGAATGGGCGTGTTTAGTTCAGTATTTAGTTTCTCATTCAGCTCTTTTGAAGAAGCCGAAAGTTAAAGATATACTGTCAATCAGACTTCCACATCGGCACCTGCACTTAATTCGGCTGTGCCAATAGCATGGAGGCTAATTAGAAACATGAACAAACTTCAGTTACGTTCTCACAATCTAATATTTTAGGTTGAGAGCGATAACTGAAAGTGATTCAAAGTTATGAACATGGGAAAATAAGTGTTCGAGATACAGTAGAACATGACCATTTCATGAACATTAAGCTACTGTGTATCCTATCCATGAAAAAAAATTATACTGCCTGAGATGCTAGGAAAAAAACTCATCAAAAAAGTTTAGATACATGTTCTAATTAAGTAGGCAGTCCATCGATTTGAGAAAACTGATCCACTACGTACACGCCCTTTAATATTACTACTTTAGACAGTTCAATAAATCATCGTTCGAAATTATACAACCTTCGTGCCATTTACAATGCCATATATATTATGTTTCTCCCACCTTCCCAGTTTAGTTGCCTGGTATGTCGCGGATACGTGCCCCCATTGGCGAAATCGGAAATAAAATGCTGCAGGAAATATCTACTGTCTCTAATATAACTTAAATGAGTGAGCAGTTGTAGGAGGTCTGTTAATCACTCACAAGTTAGCGTCATTCGGGTGGCTGTAAAATCCATCTAGGGAGAACCAATTTACAATCCGGATGGCTCCATATCAAACATTATAATGTATTTGCTGAGCGATTATTTAGGTATGAATTTTTCTCCGTTTCTAGTATCGTGATTGAATTAAGTATATGATAAAAGAGTACTTGAATTGTTTTAAGTTTGAATAGGACTTACAAAACATATTTATAGAATGTTCCTGCTAATACTTATGTTACACCTGGCTTTCTGCGACATATGTCCATCTGTATTGAACTCTAAAGTTTTGACTTTTGGAAAAGATAATAACAAGTGTTTGTACATTATAAATGAACAAAACTATTGTTCTGCTCGAACTTATTGTTCGCAACAGCATCTTGATTTGGTGACAATCGATTCTGCTGGAGAGAATGCTCAAGTGCAAGGTAAAGAATGATTTTGGAACTGAGGATCGTTTTTTTAGCTTTGCTACTCTTCTACAACCACAACAAGGCGTTCATCGGTTATATTTCGAATGGTACTCAGTGGTTGACATCGAACGGCTCTCTTCCTGACTATGAACGATTTAGTTAGTCAGGCTTTATTAGTTGGAGCCAGTTAAGTAATTTAAGCTAGTGGTAATCCTGCAAGCTGTGGAACAACCTTATCACCTTCTCTGACAAGTTTTTTTTTCACATCACTGTGTAACCGCTATTTCTTTTTTCAGCTGTACCAGGTCCACGAAGAAGACCCACAGATATTGTTTTTGTTTTCGATGCATCCATGTTTTCATCCTTTTTAGTTGTTGGAAATGTGAGTTCTAATCACAATTCTTTGATACGATTTGGTTCCAGCAAGTGTACTTCGCAGAACTTTTAGCGACACACGTTTACGCTCGAGGCTCAGCTCGCTTTGCTTATACTTTTTACGGATGCGACGTGAGATTATGATTGGAATTGAAACTAATTTGATTTAGCAAATTCAAAACACATATTGGTTACCTTATGATGGCTTTGTTAAAAATTTGAAAATATTGAATGAAACTCTTGCTGCATGCGTTCGAACCAAGCCAACAACTCTCGAGAAGTAAACTGTTCTACAATGACATATATATCGAATGTTTTTAGTGGCTTATCAAATTTGGTTACAAACTATTACTCGATCAACCCTGTCAAAGGTGAATTTTACAAGTATATGGCTGCAATATTCTTCAGCAGCTGTACGTGAGTCTGCCGAATTGTTGGGAATTCCAACAGTTTTCTTGTAGGAATTCTTCTTGGTTAGCTATTGGAACGCCTACAGCTCCCGTGAACTCAGAACTCATTACAATCGCTATAGGATCATCTGGTAACATCTTTTTACTGCAGGATTATATTTTTTTCAGCTACTTCGCTAAGCAGAATCAGTAACCCGAACGGAAACAGTTTGAGAATTCCTGACTTTAGCGCTATGACAAGTCTAGTTCAAAATGTTGACAACAAAGTGTTTGATGATAATCTATTGAGAACAGGTCTTCCGTGTAAAATAATTATAGAAGTATAGCATTTGTTGGGTTTAGCTGCATCAGCAGTGGAATCGACTAATGTAGCTCAGTCGGATTCATGCGTCGGCGCTGACCGTCTATGTGCTTACATTGATGACACGGGTAATTGGTATTCTGTCAATTGTACTGAACACCTGTACGCGTTATGCTTGGTAAAAACAAACTTGTCTATGATCTATATACTCATGCTTGTATCTTTTCAGGGTAAAGCTCTACCCTATGTCGCTCCGACAGGTCCGCCAGATACAGATCCGTAAGTGCAATGCCATTATGATTATGATAATGTTGAAAATATTTTTAGTTGTATTGATGAATTTACATATTATTCAGACTTGGAGAACGACTATTGCTATAAGGTTCCATTTCTTGTACTTCTACATCAAAAAAACTTTTGAAGGTTGATGTCAAAAAGACATATAGCGATTCCCAGGATGATTGTGTGCCAGATGTTTTCATTAGGAATAGAGAGATTGCGTTGGCTTCGATACAAAGCGAATCGGAGAATCAGAATATTTTAAGTTGAAATAGAACTTTGAAAGATATTCATTTCTTCAAATAGGTTTGGTCAAAAATAGTACTGGAGTATCAGCATTCTGGATTGGGTTGAACTATCTACCAGGAACAAATGAAGACTGCACGAATGTCTCAAATTTAACAGTCGCCAAGTCGTGTTGGCAATGGGAAAATGGAGAAGAAATAACTTATTTGAATTTCAAATCTGGTATACTTTTTCTTTTTATAGTAGTGAAAGCTCTTTAGATTACCCAAGACTTGGTGTAAGTGAATTCAACTGCGTTGCCATGCTTTTTGAGACCGGGCAATGGATCACAACAGATTGCAGTAACAAGCTACCCCCTGTGTGTTCGTATAGTGTATCCTCCTAGGTACACCGTAGACATGGAATAAACTCTTTTAATTTTTTCATTGGTTAATTTTAATGCTTTATTCCTATTAGTATTTATATATAAACTTATTAATTGAAGGAAGGAGCAATTTATGATATGTCAAAATACATTATTGGATGGAAAATTATGACAACGGATTAAGATCAAACCGAGCTCTATCATTGAATGGATAATATTCTTGAAATCAGATTATCATATCTGAGCTTGCATTCCACCATTAATACCAATGGTTTCACCAGTCATATAGCATGCCTCATCAGACACCTTAAAATTCAGAATCGAGTTCAGAAATTTTCAGTTTACTTACTAAAAAAGAGACTGCTCCGGCACATTCCTCGGTCATACCATATCGTTGGATTGGAATTTGTTGGAGCCAATTCTGATGACCGAAAACATCGGAATATAGCAGTTTACTAAAATCTGTTGATATGAGACCTAAATATATACTGTTCACAGCTTTTCAATTCAGGAACAAACCTGGAGCCACAGCATTCACACGTATACTCTTCCCTGCTATTCTTTGACTTAGAGTATTATTCAATCCCGTTAAAGCAGATTTCATCACCGAGTATGCACCCACATCTTTGATTGGAGCGAAATCAGCTGTGGAAGATACAAATACAATACTCCCTCTGCCAGAACTCTCAATATGAGGTATGGCCACCTTGCTCAATTCAAGAGCTTCATTCATCTAAAAATATTCTAAACGTCAGGCTCTTGTAAGCAGGAAACTTTTAACTGGACTAGATTAACCCATTGTTGATTTGAAATTGTCAGTGTGTCTCCAACATTGGGATTTACAGCTGCGTTCGACACTAGAATATCAAGTTTTCCATATCTGGAAAAAAAAACAAGATATGCGGAAAACATTTAGGAGTATAACTTCTCAATTGCGAAATCAATTAACTTTCTTCTGCCCTCTTCTTTCCCAACCTGAGCCGCAACTCCACTAACTCTAATGCCATCGAGCATCAAAGTAGCCGCGGCATGCTGGGCAAACATAGATTACCTATTAGAAAATGATTAGGCAATACCTCAACTTGTTGCCGATTCCCATCTGTAACAACTATACTAGCTCCATCTAACCCAAGCCGTTTAGCTATGGCGAAGCCTATACCCTGAAAAGCTCTCTAAAAAAAATTCTTGTTTTCAGCTTTCCTACCTGAGCTGAAGCTGACACTATTGCTACTTTATCAGTTAAACTTTTAGTCACTGGCAATAAGGCCATCTGGAAAACAAAAGCTTAAGAATGTGATACAGAAAACAGAAAAGAAAATCAAAAGAACATCGTAGCTATGATCTTAGGAAGAGGTGGAGACAATACATAAGAAGGAAATCTTTTACTGTACGCAAATAGTGCACAGTTTAATATGTTGAATCGTAATGCATGGGCGCAAGCAATGAAGCTTGGATCAAACGCAAATTCGTTTATTCTTGAAATATTCATTTTCAGTATGTCTAATCAAAAGAAAAAGGGTAAGAAGAAGACGCCTTCAACTAGCAGCAAATCATTAAAAGGACCAATCGAGGACGATGACTTCCCAGATGCAATTCTGTTTGACGACGACGGGACTATCTCTGGGCGGGATTGTTTAGATATTAGCAAGTAATTATGAAAAAAGTGCAAGATACTTCAAATAACACTCTTATAGATTACTACTATCGACCGGGAAACAACTGAGCAAAACGGGAACCACATTTTTAGAGGTACAGAATCTTTAAAGCCTTCCTAAGTAAACCTATTCAGGTATTTCAAAACCGGTGCGCATTGAGTATAGGTACAGCTCTCATAACATTGTATGAACTTTTCGAAGGCGCGAACGAAGAATGCCAGAAAGTTCTTCAGTTTCGCATAGTTCTGATGTACTTAGTCTACAAGTTTGTGATTTGCTGTTGTATCTCTTGAGTACCGAATTGGTTCAGATCTAGAGATTTAGAACCGGCATTGCGTAGAAAGCAGGACAAAAGTGATCCAAAAAGCAAAGATATCATAGCGGGACACCCTTTTCTTGATTTTTTCCTTATCGCAGTTGGAAAAAAGTGACTTAAGATTTTCATTCTTTTGTCTTTTTGCAGTACGAAGAGAAGATCTCCAAGAGCGAAACATTGATAGCTGCTAAAATTCTGGACAGAAAAGCTACTGACTTGGGTTCTATGACCCCTTCTGATGTGATCAAAACTGCAGAAGCTGCTGATTTGGAATCTGCGGTAACGCTAACGGAGTCAACATCAGTCTAAATTTTCTCAGTGCGCAGATGATGTCGAGAAGCAGATGATGGCGAATCGAATGAGATGGCCTATAGGTTATGAGGAGTATCTTTCATCTGCCGTAACATCTAACACCGTTGTAAAGAAACCAAATATTGACGTGTAGGGTTCGACGAACGCTTACATTTTCTACTTCAACTCTTCTCAGATCATCATTAACACTTGAGGACTTGACACGTATTAGTATAACTTTATTAGTGAAAAAAACAGGAACTCTCCCTTCCCGAAACTTGGGAACATATGAGTTAATGAATTTCGTACAACCAACTCAACATGAGTACGATCACGTATGTCTGCCCAAACTTCCCCTCAGAATCGTTTTTAGAATCCCAGAGAAAGTGCAGATATTAGAGATTTTACGGTATTCAACACCGATTATGAAGATGATATTCCCGATGATGAATTGGAGCAAGATAGAGAAAAGGCTGAACAGGTTCTTTCAAATTTTTATTTTTGAATATGAAAGTTTCAGACTGTAATAGAAAAGGCGTCTCAAACATTTTTGGTTCAAGAAGCAGCTAATCTCAATTTAACAGAACTTGATGAGGATCTCACCGATAGAAAGACAGCAACAGCTGAAGAAACCAAAATAACACCCGTCGATAAAATCCTGAAAGGAGAAAGCTTGAGGTTTCTATTTTCCTCATTTTTTTAAAAGTATTCTCTCATAGTCCGAATGAAATACGTGCAATGTTGAAAATAATGAACGAATGTGATCTGGACGATCCCATACTGGACCGTTTGAAAGGATTGAATGGAAAGAATCTGCGGAAGTTTATCGAAGAAAATGTGAAAGTAGCTAGTGAAGCAGCTTTCAAGATTGTTTCCCAGAATCCTGTACTGATTCATATGTTTGTTCGAGAAATGATACTTTTTGATAGAACTTTTACACTTCAGTTATATGAATGTTCTCTTAGAAATGGATGTTTCAGTGCAAGGTTTAGAATTGGTGAGGCGACTTTACGAGGTTGTTCGATTCATATAACTTCATATAAACAATTCTTTGTTAGAACATTCCTAATTTGAGCTTCGATCCATTACGTGAATTTGTATTCTCAATAATGGATCATTGCCAGAATGGTACAATCTCTTCTTCTCAACTGGTCCGCACAGTCAGAATGGTTTGCATGTTTGTTACTTCGTTGGTGAAGCATGGTCTTCTTAAAAACAAAGTATCCGTCCCAACATTTATTCAGCTAATTTGATATTATCACAGAACGTACTTCTGGGAATTCAAGATTTCGTATTAAAACATCGAGAAATTAAGGAAGCTACAATACTTTATCAAGTTATTGTAAATGTTATGAAGACACCAGTGGAAAGCTAGATTTGTGATACTAATTTTTAAATTAAAATACTATTAGTTGTTTTGTTTGCTCTAGTCTGAGTCATATTGCTCAAGTTTTTATCGTCTAATTGGTTTGCTGTTATTAAATTTGCTTTAAGAAGATGACCGTAGTTGATTCTCCCGAAACTAATATTTTCCTTGAGTACGTAATAGGTCTGCCAGAGGATGATATAAATTTCTTGCAAAAAGAACCGTCTTCAGGTCTGTTATAAAGCTGCCGTTTATAGTTTTACTTCCAATGTGTAGCATTCTTCCTCTTTCGCCTTCTGCCTGATGTTGCTCAGCAGTTACTCGTCAAATTAATTTGGAACTCAAACGTTGTGTATATCCATATTATCCATAGTCATATTGCTTTTCAACTGTCTTCAGGGACGCTTTGAAACATGATAACAAAGAGATTGGGAGCAATCTGGATCTTTTGAAAAAGTTAAAACTTGTAAGAGTCGTTGAAGGAAGCTGTACAGTGAATGTTTGTGCTTTTTTTTGCAAAAAAAAGTGAGGGAATATTTAGGATAACTTCCGGAGGGCTTATCTCTACGCTGTGATGAATGGATCTAAAAGATGTGCTCAAATTGATTCAACTGAGGTTGAAGAGCAGAAGAGAAACAAAGATATCGTAAGAAAATCGAATGAGCGATGGGAGTGTATTCTAAGGTAGTTTTCGATCTCCTACAATCAGCATTGTTTTTTCTCAGGTATTTAGCCTTACCTTCAGAGCAGAACAAGGCTTCTGTTTCTCTTACAACCAGAAAATTATTCAATAGTGCAAATTTCACTAGTGGTGAAGGAGAAGGGGACATGGAGATCACTTCGGCTGGGTTTCAGTTCCTTCTGCTCAGCCCTATTCAACAGTTATGGACATACATGTCGGGTAATCTAACTGATTTATTCCGGCAAGTTTGACTGCTTTCAGAGTATCTAAAACTTGCTCAATCAGAAGGAAAAGATTTGAAAGAGTTGATGATTGTTCTGATTAAAATCATTTTGTGTGTAGACAAAGGTAAAATGTTCCTAGTTCTCAAACTATGACGGTTTTTGCACAGGAGATGACATAACCAAAAGAGCATATGAGTTGGACAACTCTTGGTCAAAAGAGCAAAATGAACTGGTCATGCATATGAGAGAACTGGGGTTAATATTCTTACGTACAAGAAAAAATGGGTTTGCTTTTCCTTTTCGTTCAATTGTGAAAGTATCAAAAACAGCATTTTCTTTTTGACCCCTCTTCTTTGGCATCTATCAAGCAGATCCGATGATGACCAAGCATCTCAAGAGCGTAAAGATGGATATATTATTGTGGAAACTAACTTCCGTTTATATGCTTATACAAACAGCAGTTTAGATTTGGCTATTCTCTCTACATTTACAGAGATGACCTACAGGTTTGGAGGAACTATCTTTAAGTTAAACAATTCGTATCAGGTTTAACGATATGTCTGTTGGCATCCTTACGAGGGAGTCAGTACGACGGGCTTTGCAGGTGCCTTCCTTCAAATATTTTTTCTTCATTTCATTTCTTTATTTTTCAAGGTTGGTATCACTGCCAATCAAATCATATCATTCCTTCGATCAAATGCTCATTCCAAATGTTTGAACTCTAGTGGTCCCCTTAACTGCTTACCAATTACGGTATTTATTTGTGAGACTATCCTTCTTTTTACTTATACCATAAAGGTTGCTGATCAAATCCGTCTATGGGAAGACGAGAGAAAACGCTTAGTTTTTACAGATGCAACTATTTATTCTGTATTTGATTCGGAGGAAGAGTTTGTCGGTAAGATACGTTTTGTGTTATTCCATATGTTCTGTATGTATCAAAGGTGTTCGCGATTTCGCAGCTAATCAGGATGTTCTTCTGTGGGCTGACAGCACGCAAAAGCTCGTAATTGTAACTGATGAGGGACATTCTCTTGTGAAACAATGGTGGAGACAACACCGAGGACAGTAAATCATACATAATTTTTGATCTCAAAGTTCTTTTTCTCTTCGAACTTATGTACACGTCGAGTTATACCTTCCAGAAAGTTATGGATGCAGAAATACTAATGTTTTTTTTATTTCGATAGCTTAATAAATTTTCAAAACAAATATTTGTTTCGATTAAGTTCTACAACAATACTTTTGATAACTTCATAAAACTTCAATTGACCTAAAAGATGTCAGACAAATATCACCCCACTCTACGTATTTCCCTTATAAGCATGTTCCTTTGTGCTTGTTTTCTAAAAGGTTTGCATGAATGTCCCTAATCTGTTTATATTTTCAGTTTTTTTCTTAAATGGGATACTGAATTAATAAATTGTTATGATGGCTAATCGTGATGATGAACATCGAATTTTCGAACACTTTGTGATTGCTGGACTGGATAAGTCATCCCTTGAGCAACTCTCCCCTTCCTCACAAGAATGCGGATGTCGGAACATCCAGCCATTAGCTCCAATCACTGATATATGTGTTATATTTCCGTCATTAGGGGAAACAGTAATTTCTAAGTGTTGCTTCCCTGTGCTTTAAATGTGAATATAGATGCCGGAAGGCTTCGAAATCATATCGACGACACCTTTGGGATATCCTGCTGATTTGAACCATGGTTCTATAAGGATTCCAAGTGTATTCATAGGATTTCGAAGAGGATATCATAAGCCACCAATAGTGGATATAGGAATATTAGATCTAGGTATATCAAAGTCTAGAAACTTGTAATGATAAATTAGGCCGTGGTGAGAAAGCTATGGTTGACACAAATGTTCTTCAAACAACTCCTTTTGGAAGGCCTGCCAATGTAAATAATGCTGCCCAGGTTAATTTTAATCTCAAAATGATATAGTTAAACTGAATCATCAGGGTATTTTTCTCACATATCGTCGTGCTCACCAGAATAGTACTCCTAGTCAATTTGTGGTCACTAACATCGTTGTCCTATTAGCCAACAAGGGAGAAGTCCCACCTCACACTTACTATAAAATCTCCAAAAACCTGAACAAGGTAGACAATTGCTTGAAACATTTAAAAACAATTTCTCTGTAGGGAATGGTAGGGTCAGATGTATACATTTGCTATAAAAAAACTCAAGGAACTTCCAAAAGACTCGCCTATAAACCAACAGTAAGGGCTATTCATTTATCAGAACAATATTTGCTTTGAGGTTCTCGATTCCTTTCCTTTACGTGTTAATGAAGATGAACAGTTCCGACTTGCTCAAAACGTTCCGCTATTTTGCTTACCAATGGGAGCTGTGATTGAATGCTGGCCTTCAAACTGCCAAGCTCCTGAAAGATCTTTCACTACATTTGTTCTAACTGATGAGGTTAACAAACAGCACTTGAAGTTCAAACCGATTTTTTGTTCAGAATGGTACGAAATTTTATGGAGCTGCTGTGTCATTTTATGAAAAGTACACGGACAAACTAACCGACGAGCAGCTTGAGCAACTGGAGTTGACTCCTGGTGATAGTTTGGGCGGTGTTGCTGATGATTCTTCGAGTAATAACGACCCTGCGGATCAGGTGTGGAGGAAGCATTCATTTGTTTTACATTTTTAACTTGCAGATCGAATTCCATACCAATATAGCCATTTGCTTGATTTCTCGTTACCCCTTCTTTCATTCTTTTAAACGCTTCCTTTATTATATTCACAGAATCAGTCAGAGGTTGACCGAAACAACAGTTCCTATCGAGCGTTACTTATCACATTTGGTAAATCTCACTCAATTGTATATGATATGCAAGTACTTTCAGAGATATGAAGTATCCTTCCCAACACCTCGTCGACCTATGGTAGTTGTAGAGTTAGGAAATGAAACAATAAGTTTTGAATCACAGGACGATTGTCAGCTTCCGTTGAATGGTTTGTCTTAATTGAGTTTTCTTCAATGTTGGTTTTAGGAGCTCAGTTGTATGAAACACTCAGAAGCTTAGGATCGGAAAATCTCATGTATCTGATGTTGCTTGCCTTGTTGGAGCAAAAAATTCTAGTTCATTCCTTGAGGTTTGTGATGCCATCAATACTTTTTACTGTGATGAATTTCAGATCATGGATGCTCACTGCTGTAGCTGAGTCTATTCGAGCTTTGATGTTTCCTTTTCACTGGCAGTGTCCCTATGTCCCTCAATGTCCGTTAGGCCTTGCCGGCGTTTTGCATGCGCCTCTTCCATTTATAGCTGGAGTAGATTCGAGGTATGTTTTGTGACTAAATATCTGAAAAGTAACTTCTGCAGATATTTCGAGCTTTACGAGGATCCGCCAGAAGATGTCACTTGTTTTGATCTGGATACTTGTACTATCAGCGGGTCTAAAGTTCGTCATTCTATCAAGTTATCGATGCTTCCTAAAAAGGCTACCAAACAGCTTCGTAACACTCTCGACGAGTTATATAGAAAGTATGACACTCTTTTGTAATATAGGTCTAAAACTTACTATAGAATTTGCACAAAACCAGCAGGTGTTAACAAGCGAAGCGACTTTTTGCCCCTCGACGAAGAGCAACAAATTCATCGCAGAAGAAAGGAGATCGAAACGGAAATTCAGGATGCTTTCTTGAGGTTGAAAATCGGAAGAGATTTATAGCAGATTTTTTTTCAGGTTCACTGCTAATCTAATGAAAGGGTATCAGGCCCATCTCCGTCCAATCAAAAGTGCTTCGGCTACTGTAAACGCCACCGATACAGGGAATTTGTTTAATGTAGAGGAGTTCATCAAATCTCGAGACAAAACAAGTGAGCCTTTCTTCAGGAGGTAATTGCACTGGATTCGTAGTATATGTTACTGATTTAATTTAGATTCTGTGAAACACAGTCGTTTATACGGTTCATAGAAGAAAGAAGTTTTGTATCTGACAAAAACACTTTCAACGCCTTCTTTGATGATTGTATTAACAAAATAATTGGTATTTTGATTCATCCTCGGATTCACAATTGTTATGCTCTTCAGATGAAACTCAAGTTGTTCCATTGTTGGAAGCTGACACTTCGTCCTCGGAAAAACATCCCAACGTCAGTTTCCAATTCTTAAAACCTTCGGTTTGATCATGATATCTAGGTTTTCATAGCTCCTCCTGAGCCATTTTTGGATCCAGAAACTGGAAAAGAGAGATTGTTCAAATATAGTGGTTTTCCAAGACAATTGAATACAGATCTTTTCCAATTGGACACTCTGAATGTAAACGAGAAGAATGAATCGGAAAAGGTTCCGATGCAACATGGTTGTTTGTTTCATATATTATTGAGTAACTGTGGTTTTCAGAACAAGCTCGATGTTCTGCCGTGAGAACGAAGCCAGAGGCTAGATCGTCAAACTTAGCTGGAACCAGTGCTGTGCGATCAAATCCACTTCATTGGCCAAAAATTTTGCTGTTCTATTCATATTCGTTATGGTTCATGCAACTGCCGAGTCTGATTTCCGTCGCCCCAAATAAGAAGAAGATACTACGATTAGCTTTCCATGTAAGTGTTTATAGAGTAGTTTCGTTTGTAAGTGTTCCTTCTTGAGGTGCTAGACCGAATCGAGCAGTCCGGAATTCAGCTCTTAGATCAAGTTTGTTATCGTATTCTAATAGAACTCTGTGGAGAATATGAAGAACCAATGATGGCCGTCAAAGTTTTGCATGTGAGTTCTCAATGAAAGGAGATCAACAAAAAGTACCGCCAGGCTATGCACCGAGCTGGAGTTGAACAAAATGCTGTAACTTATGGAATCTATCATCGAGCTGTTATAAATGCTCAGTGGCCATCTGAAGCAAGACAGAAGGCTATCCATGCCTGGGGAAAATTGAGGTAAATTCCAAAGATATGTTGCATCTTTCTGTTTGCGAATAGACTTGTTCTGCTGGCCGTAAGACATTTAAAGAAGGACAGAATGGTTTGTATTGCTCAAGCAAGAAAGACTTCTGTGGATGGCCAGTCTTTGAAAAGCATAGAAACTGCTTTGGATTCTGTGGAGGTTCGGTGATCATATTCGAGGACATGGTATCACGTGTTTAGAACGTCCCATATACGATATCCTATGAGCCGCTAGATAAGCTTGACGGTGAAGGCTCTATCGAACTAAACGACGAAACTGGTTCGACTACTCAAAACATTTCTGATCCACTCAGTGGAACTTCTGATAAAGATCCTCTAGGAGCATTATCGAGCAAAGCTGAGGAGGAAAAGGTAAATAGAACTCTTCGAAATGTTTTGCTGATAGATTTGATACTTTAGGCTGTACAAGCCACTATGAGTCCCAGTAGAGCTAAATTCTTGGCTGAGCATGCTTCCACCCCATTTGCCAATGATGAAACACCCAAAAGCACATCGAAGGTAATAAGCAGTTTTTTCACTTGATGCAACTGTTTCTAGACGGGACGATCCGGAAGTTGGTTCAAAGGGATCACAAGCAGTCCTATGCTGATGAAAATAATGAGAAGTCAAACTTTCGGTATTTCTTATTTGCTTTTTCTTCCTGAAGTATAATAAGCAGAGAGTCCCAAATCCTTGGATGGCGCATCAGCTGAAAGTTCATCTCTCTCTGTGAGTCCTAGTCTTCATGCTATCGTCAGTCACGTGAAAAGAGGATATGATGATGTTATCAAAGAAGGTTTTGTTTTTCACTTCTTTCTGTTTCTATTTATGACTTAGGTGTTTCTTCCAAGTTCAAGTTGGGTGTGTCATCTCTGGTTCATGAAGTTCGTAGTCTTAATAGCAGTTCGCTGTTTGGAGATGATCATGTATCCGACTCTTTTCTTTCGTCAATTCAATATTTTCTCAGACTGAGGTAGCTCAGAACGATGTAGATGTAGCAGACCCAGCTTTTCAATTGGATTCTGGAATCAGTGGAGCACTGCTGTCAGAAAACTGGTGGCTATCAGAGGTAGTTCCCACTTTCTACAACTTCTATCTGATTTATATAGGTTTATTTACAAATGAAAAGACAAGAAGAAAGAACGAAAGCGAAGGATTCGAACAAATCTCCTATCTTGACCTCAGATGTACCTATCGACATTTTAGAAGTAACTCTGTGTACAAGCTCTGCGTGCAGTATGTGTAAAAGAATAGTTTATGACGAAGAAATAATGGGTGGTTGGAAGGTGAATAGAAGAGATTGTCTTTTTTTAAGTTTGATATAATAGGTTGATGATCAGAACATGAACACCACTTGTCCATACTGTTACGAGAAAGATCCTGGGAACAGTGAGTTCGCTCCCCGTCTGTCGATTGAATTTGTTTGGAAAACATCCCCAGAAGGAAGTTGGTATCAACCAGGAGGGTTGAAAGCTGATGTGGAGGTTGATATATGCAAGATTCTAACGAAATCATAATATATATTATAGTCCAATCTCGAAAGTCCAACAGCGCACAAAATTGACTCAATGTCTGTTGCTTTCGTTAGTCCTTTGGTACTGCGAAGAGAGTTAGAAACATTGTTAGCTTCTGACATACAAGCGCTCAAAGTTGGATACAATAATGTTTCTGAAAAAATTTTCGAACTGTTCCAGAATAAAGATCTTATGAACAGCCATCCAGTTGTATTCTGGAACTTCGTTTACTATATGCGTCGATTGAATTTGCCTTCTCATATGTTCAAGTAAGCTTTGATTCAACTTTGCGTCTCATAGTGATCTCTAGTAGTTGAAGTTTTTTTATGTTGACTACTTGTAAAATTTTGTTTTTCAGTTGGATTGCACCTCGTCATCATGTCCGCTGTGTTTATGACAGACCATGGCAACACACAGATATAACACCTCTATATTTTGCAAACTCCAATCATAGAGTGAGTTTCAATTTGATAGTTCATTAAAAACAAACTATCTATCTAAGTTCGGAGAAGGAAAGGTGAATGCGAGAACCAATGAAGTCTGGCAGAATGTTGTGAAATCCGTTCAGGAGAATAAACTGTTCAGTGCCTTACAAATACTAATCAACAACTATAGAGTTACTCAAAACGGACGTGTAATAATTGCAGCTCATTTCCCTGTGTTCCGGTAAAGATCAGCATTCAGATGTTATAATTTTTCTTTTAAGAGATGTTCTGTTCGCCAGTTTAGACTACTTCGGTCGTGGATTGTTGCGGGATAACCTAGATGTTCAATATCCTCATGAATTCGAGCATCTACCGGTGAGGATTCGGAATCTGTTGCCTTTCTATGATTTGCCTCAAAAACCAGTTCTTCGAGCATGTAGAAAAATATTTATGCCTTTAGATCTCATATAGTAAATTAGCGATAGTTCATCGGCCATCTCGCTAAAAAGCCATTGTTTAGCTTTATTAAAACACGTCTTGTTAGTGAATTATTGTGATACAAGTCCTGGTGATGACCGAAATGCTTCTTTTTTTTTCTAACACATCTCATTTTCTCCTACGAGTCCTCTTATGGTTCGGATATAAAGTTGTGATTTGGCTATATGCTGTAATTAATTATTATAATTATAATGAATATGTAATCAACATGACCCGTCTTGAAACAGAGGTTTGAAACCAATTTTATTTTCCATTCCTCGGATCAATCCAAACGATATGTTAGCAGATTGTAGAAATTAGAAAATGAACGACAAAACTTCACGGACCAGGAACAAGTAAGTCTTTGTCGTATATATCTTGAATGAAACTTCAGAAACAACTTGCTGGCTTTAGTTTACGACAAAAAGTATCCTAATTTGAAAGTTATTCATAAATGTGTAAGGCTATAACATCTGACCGAACTATAGATCAATGTTGTAGAGATCATATTTAGCTACTATGGGAGTACCTGCCAATAATGGGGAACACTATCTATGGCCAGAAGAGGCTATATTTCTGTTAGAGGTTGAAATTCTATCTTAAAACTTTCTTGAAATATAGATGCAGATGTGTTCGGCTGTAATATATTGCAGTGGGAAACCTTTGACCCTTCTTGAAGGGTACAGAATCCTGGAAGAAAAAAAAGTTCCCCATTTCAAATATTTAATTTATGCATCTCTAAAGAAAGCCGGTTTCGTGATAACAAGACCCAAGTAACTATCGTTTTCCCAATAGTTTCACATATTCTGTTCAGAAAAAAGAATGATGTTTGGAAAAAATCTCAAACGCCTAATAAACATAGTTGTAATTCTGGAGAAAAACCGAAAGAGGCATGTAGCCTGTATGACAGTTTCCCCTCTCTTTCTAAAAATGGACTTCATATTCCTCTCTTAAACTCTTCCAACAAATATATACCTTTCACGGCAGATTTCAAGACTCCTGACAACTCCGTTCTGCAAATCACCAGAGTATTATCTTAAACCTCATAGATGAGTATCAAGTTTTATAGGATGCAGACCGTCTCGCTCCTTGTCGTCCAAGTTATAAACCATCCTTTGAAAAAATAAATACAGCCCGAAATTGGACTGAGTTCAGAATTTTACGAGAAGAAATGTTGAAATCGAAAAAAAAATGCTTCATGAGGTATGATAATAACATATTCAGTGTCGATCTCTTTCATTCAGGAGTTCAGAAACTACAATGATCTCAAATGATAATATTGACTTTGAAATTCACCCTTCGACATACTCCTTTCATTCTATGCAAGAGCCCCTACATAGAGTTGTTTGCTTTGAGTGAGTCAGAATTAAGATGATATGGAAACTATAAGTTGTCTACAGCGTGGTCAACGGCGAGATAGACATTCATAAGCTGTGCTCTAATTATAAAAACGCTGGTGTTATCGTGGCAATTCATCAACACGGAAAAATCAATTTTATTCGAAGTAGCGGAGAAGAAATTAAAATGTTCTCGCAGTTCATCCAAGAAAGCAGGTGTATAACTGATGTCGATATGACTGAATCCGAATCCAACCAACTAATCGGGTGAGCCCAGTTTGTTCAACAACGTTCAAATGTTTTTCGTTTTCCATGAATCCAAAAATAAAACTTAAATACCACCATATGTGTATATCAATAATCTCGAGCAGTTCCCGACCTTTCACAGTGAATATTGTAGGGTAGAGAAAGCAGCACCAGCTGCTATGGTCCTTCTGGTGGGTTTATGAGAAAGAGGTTGTTGGAACAACTATTGATTTTTGTCATTCGTTGTTATAGGACTGCTCTACACTGTCCCACGTCCATATTTAACTCATTATTCTAGAATTATATATTTAGCTTATCGATAAGGTTCGTTTTTTACTGTTGTTTTATAATCTATCATGTTTAATGGTGGGAATGTAAGAGGTGGGGCCGGGCAAGCGTTAGCATAATAGGCAATGTTACTATTCTATAGGAAGCCACGTAGCATTCTTTTTCATAATGATTAATATTTGCCCAGCAACAACACTATTGGTCGTAATCACTAGTTCATGAGCCATTTGATGACGTGAAGCGCCTCTATGACCAGAGAGAGAATAGGGTGGAGGTCCTTTCTATTTATAATCGATTGCGCTTGCTACATTTGATTATTTAATTGTTATTTTCCTTTCATATCGATAGCGGCAACGTTTATCCAGCTATACAAAGCTCACATAATGTTTTTACATTCTTTAGTTTGTTATAGCATAGTTTGAAGTATTTTCCAAATCAAATTGACTTTCCAAAAGATACCGTTTGGCGTTTTGACCAAAAGAAGAGGAATAGCTTCCTGTTTCATTATGAAGTTTACAAACGGTTTCTATTTCATTCTCAAAGTTATTATTCTCGATCAGACGTTTGGAAAGGGTGCATGTCGAGAATATCTTATCGGAAGATCTTTTTAAAATTCCGTTATCCACGTGCGCCATGAAGTCCTTTCCTATAAATAGGTTATCCCAACCTGAATCATCACAATTTTGTCTACTTCTCTTTTGTGTAAAATGTATTCAGCTTATCTATATAGTTTTCTGATGTCCATGTTAATGTTAACTGTTAACAACGCTTAGTTTTGATTTGATCCCAACATGTTCTCGTCATGTCCTTCTTTTTTCACTTTATCACATTTAAATTGTAGAGTTCATATGTCTAGACAGGCTGCTTCTAACACCGATGCCGCTGAGGTATTTTTTGGAGATCATTTGCAAAGTCTAATAACAATCGTGTAGTCTTTTGATGCATTCGCTTTCAAAACATCAAATCTATAAAAGAAGATAAAAGCGTCAAAAGAAAATAGTTCCTGGTTTTCTGTGGCTCTGCATTAGACATCTTTCGCGTAAACAGAATGAAATTTTACCTCCCGCGCACCAGCAACATGGCGTATTCAAATGAGTTATAGTAGTGGAACTAATTGAATATTGGGAAATAATTGCAAAGAGTACAATGAAATCAAACTGAAGGAAGCTACCAGCTTGATCGTTAATAGCATTTGTATTAACGCTGGATGTGTTGGGCTTTTGTATTTGAAGGTTTTGGCATTGTTTTTTGTTGAATCAGGCTTGACAGCTACAGAAACGTTTTAGTCGTGGTGGTCACCACGTGTATTTGTAGTCGTGGGCTTCTTTTTTGGCATGTTAGGCAGGGTGCTATTAAAACAAGAAGAAAGATCATAGGTGACATTCTGTCCGTGTGATCCGACCGAAAAAGGTAGTTGCAAGGATGCTTTCCGGATTTCAGGGTCTTGAAGCCTGTATTGAGAATAGTCAGCGAGACATGACTACGACCCAAGAAGATCTGATAGCTTTTAGAGCTCGCAAAGTTGCGTTGATTACTGGAATATCTGGACAAGTATGTTGTGATCTATTGATTTACTGATTTCTAAAACTTATTCATTACAGGATGGATCTTATTTGGCTGAGTTACTTCTCTCCAAGGGATATAAAGTTCATGGAATCATTCGCAGATCTTCATCTTTTAATACTGCTCGTATTGAGCATTTATACAGCAATCCAGTAACTCATCATGGTATTGTTTCAGAGCGAGTTCTTCATAATAATCGAAATTTCAGGAGATTCATCTTTCTCTCTTCACTATGGTGATATGACTGATTCTTCTTGTTTAATTAAGTTGATCTCAACAATCATGCCCACAGAAGTCTATCATTTGGCTGCTCAATCTCATGTCAAGGTATTCATTTGTTTTCTTATTCAAACGTTACTAATTTTTGTTACAGGTCTCCTTCGATCTCCCTGAGTATACAGCTGAAGTAGATGCTGTGGGAACTCTGAGACTATTAGACGCTATTCATGCTTGTGGTTTAACAAAGAAGGTATTCAAAGCAAAACTTGTGTTCATTCCATACATTTTTTTCTCGAACAGGTTCGTTTTTACCAAGCTTCAACTTCTGAACTTTATGGAAAAGTGCAAGAGATCCCACAAAAAGAAACAACTCCATTCTATCCTCGATCTCCTTACGGTTCGTTCTATACATTTCATAGGAAGCTGTGTATGTATTCACATGAAGCAATTTGCTATTGCAGCTGTGGCTAAATTGTATGGATATTGGATTGTTGTCAACTATCGTGAAGCTTACGATATGTTTGCCTGCAATGGTATTCTCTTCAATCATGAGAGTCCTAGAAGAGGTGATTAGAAACTCGCATTTTTTAAAGTTAATTATGCAATCAGGAGAAACATTCGTTACAAGAAAAATCACCAGATCTGTTGCTAAGATCAGTCTGGGGCAACAGGAGTATGTTGAGTTAGGAAACTTGGATTCTCTTCGTGATTGGGGACACGCTAGAGAATACGTCGAAGTATGTTTCAGTGGGAACTATTGAAAGCACAACTGAATGACTCAGGCTATGTGGCGTATACTCCAGCACGACCATCCAGACGACTTTGTCATTGCCACTGGCAAACAATACACAGTTAAGGAGTTCTGCAACTTGGCTTTTGCTGAGATCGGCGTCACTCTTGTGTAGGTGTCTTTACCCAAAATCTAACAAATCCAAAACTTCAGATGGGAAGGAGAAGGAGTTGATGAAGTTGGAAAAGACAAAGAAACAGGTGCTGTTAGAGTAAAAGTCAGTCCAAAGGTAAGAGCTATCTTCTTTTATGAATTATAAGTCTTATTGTTGTCAGTATTATCGCCCAACTGAAGTAGAAACTCTTCTCGGAGATGCAACAAAAGCTAAAGAAAAGCTTGGATGGGAAGCCAAAGTTACTCTCAATGTAATTGATTTGGTTTTTATATTCTTCAAAACCTATGATTATAGGAGTTGGTGAAGGAAATGGTTGAATCTGACATCGCACTCATGAAGGCTAATCCGATGGCATGAACTGGGAAGAAAAAATATATATCTTCTAACGTATCATATAAAATATGAAATTTTCCTAACGTGAGTCTGTGATATCATTATTTGGTTAAATTAAAACTAACTATGAATAAAAATTTTATTTTCTATCAGGAACTTCTTAATGAACGTGATTAAACGTTTAATTTGAACAGTTTTGTCAATGTTTTTGTTTTTTAGCCCGTACAGAAGAGTTGTGTGCCGAAAGTTCTTATTTAAACAGTATTCTTGAAATGTTTTTCAAGAAAATGCGGCTTCCTAATGTACGAATATACTCGTGGAAACAACAGTTGATATACGAAAAAGAACAACACAGTTAAGGTAATTAGAAGCAGAAAACTACAAAGGCAATGCACTAAAAAGAGATCTCACCTCCCCAAAGTCATAATCTCGGAAGAGTCCCTCATCCCCAAGAAATGTTCGAAAAGAAAACATCTGAGCAGATATTTGGAAATAGTAGTAGAAACAACAGCTTTAAAAGGTGTGACAGGATTTGGATGTATTCCTTAAGTTTTCATCTAAACAATTCTTGCGAACTTCAAGAACTTTTCATTTTATAAATCCGTAATCCCTATTGAGTAGATTTTTCTCGTTTTCTCGTCTTCTGTAGTTTCGTCTCCGCCGTTTGGAGTTTGGTTGAGTTTTCTGGAAGGTTCAATCGTTCGTATTTTTTCGTTTTCTTTTCCTTTCATCGTTATCGATTGGTTGTCTCATCCTCATAGTCGATTATCATCCTTTTCCTCCATTTCCT